CTGAAAACGGTGTGGGTGGTGGGGTGGCGGTGTCGCCAATTTTTGAAGCCTGTTGCTTCTTCTTGACGGGAAGACAAGCAAAAACCAACCCTTCGGGATTTCACTGGCGCCGCCCCAGCAGGGGTCGGCGGATAATAAACAATGACCAGGATTCAAGTCTTTGTCTCCTGGGAGATCCTGGCAGATCTGGTAGCGGTACCTACACAACGAGAGACAATACTACGAATTGTTCAGGCTCTATGTTGTGATTGTCGAGGCTCTGCATTGCGTCGGTCTTGTAGCTGCTGTATGCGCCTCTATTATGCAGCTGTTCTGCGATATAGTTTGTGGGTCTGGGTGGGCGTGCTGCAGATTAATTGCGCAACCTGTGAGAGCGTTTAGCGTGCGGATTTGTACGGGCGATGCTCTGAAAGCGCTTGGATGCGAACTATGTCCGACTAGGTGCGAGAGATAGCCCAAGCCCCAACCGCGAGGCTGTTGCCGCCCGCCTAACTCGATTTCCTGCACCGTGCAGCGCCCTGACAGGTTCCCATACACGAGATCCTGACGCTTCCGCTTCCGTTTGCTATTCTCGCATTGCGCCTCCAAAGTGCAAGGCTCCTTTTGCAACCGGCCTGCAGTTAGCACCAGCGCTGTCGTGGCACTCTGGCAGGGTGCCAATCCAGGCTTTTACAGGAATTTGCCCTTCGTGGGACTGAGGCTTGCGCTGTGCTCCATGCCCATTTCCATCCTGATCTCCTTCGGTTTCATGTGGCTGGGACAACCAGTAGTAGATGGTACTGAACGTCGGTATCTCTAGTGCAAAGTTGCCGTAGCTGCGAGTTTAAAACGCAGATCCGAGGTACTTCGTCTCCCTGCATCTTCCCGTGATCATGTACGCGCTGATTATGATGCTCATGCTTTGCACGGTGCCTTGGGCCTGGAATACGATCCCCACTGGAATGGCCTCTCCGTTGACCACCCCGATCTGAGACAGCTATGTGGATGCAGTGGGGTCAGCGAAGTCCTGTGCTTCCAGCCAGGCTTTATCTTTTGATTACTCTCTGTTTACGATGACACGATTTGCGGAAGAGCGCAAGCATGGGGCTACCATGGAAGAAGCTATCGACCCTTGGCCTGCAGAGCTTGATATCATGCACACATCATATCTCCAACCTGTATTGGGAATGTTCTCGGTTGTCTTAGCCAGAGTTGTGACCATGGTTTCTGCTCTGCTAGAGACTCACTTTGCATGTGACGATGCCTGCTGCGAGGAGAAAGTTATCACACAAAGCGGCCATGTGGTCATGGTGTCGGGTTTGGCACCCTGGATAAACAGAAGAGCTTGGCATTGCTTGGCCGTGCCTGCATGTTTCATGTTGCTAGAGCATTCGTTCAGTCCTCCTGCCAAGGTCCTGACAATCGCTTATGGAGCAGTGCTGGTGCTTCCAGGCAGTTTGTGGACAGACGTCCAGTGATAAATAAGCAGACATGCCGGACCATGATGTTCCGTGTTTCTGGTTCCGTGAGAGCTATCTATGCCATGTTCTTGTTCTGCTTGAACTGGCTCTAGGTGCCATTGTCTAGAGACATGAGAAGGGTGCCTTTCTGGATTCGGGACCACATCCTTGGGCCAGGCGCCTTCAAAAGCTTTTGCGTGGCTGCATGTGCCATGATTCTGTGCCTCTTCCGGCATTTGATCTGATGTATTTAGTGTAGCCGGCGGAAAACTGGTGCTCGACACTGCCCAGGTGCAGCATTGGAGTGCAGCTGAATCTTGACAAATTAAATTGTGGCACTTTAGACTAATGTCATGTCCTTCCAGCTGTGGGAAACTCCTCAACAGGATTCTGACTGTGTTCTCTTGTATGACTTTGAGGACATTTGTGCCCTGTGTCCTCGGCATTTTTCCGTGGCTGGGCGCGGGCTTTGAGCCTACCGAAGAGGATCGCCAGGCAGGGGACGGGTGGTGGTTGCCTTGCATTGATAGTGTTGGTTCTGTCGCCTAGCGGATATGCAAGATGCTGATGCCGTGCAACTGAAGCGCTGGAAGCACTGTGCAAAAGACGTGTTGAGGCGGAGCTACTTGAAGATATTGATGCCATGGAAAAGGGCGAACTGGACATGGACGAGGATCTGCAGTTCTTGCATTTGCATGTTGCGTAGTTGAAGGATACGACAAGCCCATGAAGCGAACTACACAAGCAGCGGTCAGTGCCATGCTACTGTGGCCGCTGAGGATGACGAGTTCGCAAGCCCTGCAAAACGCAAAGCGCAACTGAATTGCACCAAATAGAGTCTGAAAATATGATGATCAATGAAGATTCAGCATATGTACACCATGGGTTGAGTTGTTTCCGGCTTTGCGGAACGAACTATTCTGTGCAGCCCAGCCGTTCGATCAAGATTGGACAGCCAAGGTATGCCCGAGTGCAGCCTTTTCGCTCAGGGGTCACTTGCTGGCATGTTCTTGCATTGACGCATTGACATCATTAAACACTTTGTAAGCACGAGGTGTACTATGAGATCGGAGGCTTGCTGACAAAGTGCCCAATGAAACTTACTCTGCATCCAGCATTTGCTTGTCTTGGAGCGCTTCTTGTACCGGGTGCTTGAGCGGTTGCACTGGCTCGAGGAACATCTTGGTGCCGCTCTTGATTTATGCTGGCATGACTCCGTTCACACTTCGCGTCACGCAGCCTCTAGTCCGAAGCAGCACGAGCTTGCATTGGAAGCAAGAGGCTGCACTTCCGCATGCACAGGTACAAGATGGGCCACGCTTATGAGCTTCAAGTCCCTCGTGGTCGCCCCGAGTGGGCGACTTCACTTCAAATTCAGCGGGACTTCCCCCCGAGCGTGGGCTGCAGCTTGGCCAAAGGTCTAATGGGTGCACCAACGTCTCAGAGCAGACCTCCGACGCACCCGGTCCCCAGTTAGTAGTCGATGGAGTTGCACACATATGCAGCTTCGAAGCACTGAGGCATGATGCCAACGTGACTTGAATAATCAGAGGCGTTGGAAATGTCATATCACCAGATTCCAACCGTTCATTCTCACGACGTTGAATTCATGGGAAATCGCCCCATGTCACGCCTCAGTCAATAGCAGTAGCTGAAGGCATAGACTGAGATCAGCAATGCGTTTGACTTTGCCATGCCGAACCACGCTCGCTGCTATTCGCTATCCCAGGTTGATCATCGCGACGAATCGGGTGCAGGATGAATTGTCACCCAAAGACAGATATGCGCTGGTGGGACCAGAAGATCTGGACGCCACAGGCCATCTGGGCGTGCCAATCAATGTTGCGGCAGTCGAAGCCGAAGCCCGAAGCCTTGGCTAGAAGGTTTGGCGTATGAGTGGCACAGGGAAGTTTTCAACAACATGAACAAAGTCGGTCAAGTGAATGCATGTAGTTTTATTGCAACAATTGCATGGCATAAATTCAGCGGTTGCTTGAGGCGCCGGCAACGATTCTGCCGGGCTCTCAGTTGACCCCAAGATTAGCATGGCGGAAGGGAGCTATGATATTGTGAAAACCTCTCGACATGAGTGAAGGCTTTCTGTTGACACATGGCCAGGAGCTGGTCGAACTTACGACCGAGGATCCGGGCTGTCTTGCGCACTTGTGAATTTATGTGAAATGAGAGGGGGTGCAAGTTGCACAAGCAAACCACTGGCGTTCGCATAGGCTGCACGATCCACCATGACTGTTTTCTCTGAATCTTTGTGGAAGGTGCGTTTCTTATGAATTTGTTTTCTTTTGGTGCGTTCTGTTTTGTGAGTTTTCTACGATGTCTGGGCTTCTGTTTTTTTTTTTGCTTGTGCTTTTCTGCTTTGCCGATTTTCTGCTTCCCTTTTTCCACCCTCATCCTTAAAGGTCTCGTCCTGCTCCGCTTTTCTCGCGTCCCAACTACCACAACAACAACAACTACTACTCCTCCTCCTCCTCCTACTAAACGGGCGCGAGGTCTAAGGTGCACGCTCGATTTTCGTCTAGCGCGAGATCCGCCGCTGCAATGAGGACCTGGCCGCCCAAAATCACAGTGTCGTTTAGATTTGGGCATTCAACCTGCGAGAGCACCTGGTTTGGGGCGCCTGGGCTGCGGCTGCGACGCCCGCAACTTGCTTGCCTTTTTTTCGAGAAGCCCTTCTGCTGTCTTGTTGGGGACTTGTGGCTTTGGATCGAAAAGCCCCAGCACCTGGATCGCCAAATGAGGGGGCGGTTGATTAGGAGATGTGATCAACCGGGATCGCTTGCGGGATCGCTTGGGGCATGTTTAAGAGATGCTGGGTATGTGATGAGTCGTCAAATGAGGGGGCGTGTTTAGGAGATGTGATCAACCGGGATCGACCGGGATCGCCTCAAGAGGAGGCGCGTTTAAGAGACGGGTTGAATCGGGATCGCCACAGGAGGGGCGGAGTTGAAGATATCTGAGCACCCAGCGGGCCCTAGACCAAGAAAATTCAAAAACAAATCCTTAATTAACTCTCGCTCTGTCTTTCATTGTGCCCACCTGCTCCTATTTCTTGCTATTCTCTGCAGAGAGGGCCTCCGTTCTGTATGTGTGTAGTTCTCTTTCAGCTTAGTACTGTACTTTTGCGGGATTTCGTTGGGCAGCAGGAGAGGAACGTCCCTGCGCATCCTGCCGCGCATGTGTCGAGATCTTGATTCGAGATCAGGTTGGCGCTCGGTCATGGACCGACCGATGTCCCGGAGATGCTACTGTAGGAGTGCATGTCGTCTACCATGATGCTCCCCGGCTGCGCTTCTGTTTGGGCATTCACCTCTCGATTGCCTTGGCATGGAGATGTCGAGTGTCTTCTCCATCGGTTTCCATCGCTCGTTGTACCCGATCCTTCCAGTCGTTAAGGCGAGAGTATTTTTTCGGGCACTCCAAACATAACAATCAAGCTGGGGAGAGTGCACCGGCGCTGTTGATACGGACCTTGTGCGATTGACCTGCTTTACCGGGCTTGGGTGATAGCTCGCTGATGGCATGCACGGGTTTAACATTTCTGTTTTTTTGGCCGAAGCATGGCTGCGACCCGACGAGGATGGTGAAACCTTGGCAAGCTTGTTTTCAATGTCCGTCCATGTGCACATCATCGACGAGCCGCTTTTGGGGTGCTTCTGCTGGATGGGTTCTGGCAAAGAACCGAGAAGCGCGATTGTGCAAGTCGTTGGCAAACTTACGCAACAGAGGATGATGAAGAGCCAAGCTTACGCAACAGAGGATGGTGAAGAGCCAAGAGTGCTTGTGTGTGCCCAAGAAGCACAGATCACAGCATTCAGTCAGGGCTTGGCTTGGACTCGACGACGTTGTTTGTGAAGGTTGTTGAGCCATGAGTCACCCATACCAATGACGAGCCATGTCCTGAGGGAGCTCAGCTCGGGCTAGGGGTGTCCTTCACCAGCTGCTTAGCCGACAGATGAAACTAAATTAGCCAGTTCTTGGGCGGCCAAATTTCATCTGAATCTAGAAAGTTTGAATTGCGCAGGCTCCACTGGATGTGAGAGGACAGGCTTTCTTCGACGAAAACTGCAGCCGCTTGGCTGCCAAAGAAACAGCTGCCATCTGCAGAAGCACAGCTGTCGTCGGAGAGAGCTTTAGCCCATGCTCTTGGAACGATCTTGGCGTATTGCCAAGCCCAAGAAGTTTCGCACGCTGCCGTCCGATCTTGTCGTACCATTCGATAAGAGGAATGGTGGACTCGCTCATTGAGGCTTCTGAGAGACTTGACTAAATGGTGCGGTTCGCAGCTTTTGATTCAACTGGCCTGGGTGGCTTAAGTTCATCTACGCTCAACAGGCGAAGATAGTGCCAGCGGACGGGTGCACCCATGAGAATAGCTTGGGCACGGTGGCATCAACAGACACCATCCCAACATGCCAGTGAATTGGAACATATAGGATGGACAGTAAGGGAGTGGAAGAAGGCATTTGATTGGTTCTTCAGGTGCTCCGTGCCATGAAGTGTGGATTCGCCCTGGGTTGCTCAACTCTTGAGCAGAGCATCAGATCGGGAGGTTCTTATGTGCTTTTTCCGCACTGAGGCGGTTTCTTCCAGGCAGCATCAATGAAGGAAGTCCAGGTAGTGGAAAAGGAGCCCATGTGTCTTGACTCTGGACCTCGAACGTCCACTGACTCGACGCTGGCTCTCTGCATGTGCAACTGCTGCAGAATTAGCAGACAAGGCATGGACATCGTAAATTGTGCCGGCGTGAAGTTGGTAGTTAGGACGCCGTGCTGGTCCCAAAGGCAAACGAAGCGGTCGGGGAGCGGTCCCACTGATGCAAGAGGTTCCACGCCGGGACACAGGAGCAAATGGAAGGCTCCGCAATACATTGTTGCAAGAACTGGAGAGACGCGATGGCGAACGAGGTGTCGCAAAGAAAGCCAAGCGAGAGCTGCAGCCGAAAAGGTACCTAGATCAAAGAATTTAAGCTGTGTCATCGGAGCCTACAAGGCCCTACCTGTTACTAAGTTTCTGTGGGATCTTCGCGTCAGGATGGTTGATGCCTTCCAGCAGGCAGCTGCATGGAACGAAAGCGGCTCCAGCTAAAGTACACGGTGCTCAGCTATCTATACAAGAACGGATAGCAGAGACAACTCTTTCAGGCAACGAAGCCATTCGTAAGACCAGAAGAGCGTCGCAGTGGGGTGGAAAGTGGACGCCGACAGCTGCCATTGCAAAAGAGACACACCTGGAATTGTGTCATGCGGAGTCATGCGCAGAACACAGGCGACACTCTTGCAGTGCAGGGAGAGCCTGCTGATGCAGCAGATCGTGCTGAGGGCAACCCCAGGGACCACCAAAACCCTGCATAAATTCGTGTGCTTCCATCAAAAGTTGGCTTACTGCTGCGACAGAGACTTGCTTCGAGTACACAACTGAATTTGGGTGATGCCTCATCTTTGCAAGCAGCTTTATGAAAACTGCCAAGCTTGTAAAATGTGAATCTCTGCTGGCCGCACTAGCTGCCGATGGTACTGCCACGCTAAGGAACCACTCCTTTGCTTTGGACTCGGATGACTTCCAGTCTCCAACCTTCTACGGCTCTCATGAGACACTTGCTCGAAGTTGGCCCGGGAATGGGACAAGCCCAGTTTGCAAGGCCAAGCCGAAGAGGTGAAAATAGTCCTTTAAAAATCTGTGGAACCAGTGTTTGTGCAAGCCCCGACTGATGGCCACGGGAATAGCACTTGCAAACCTGTCCACTCGCCATGCCTGCAAGGAACGGAAAAGTGAAATGCTTGAACTACCAGCTCACACACTACTACCGCGGCAGTCTCAGCTTGGACCCGTCCTGTAGAATTCCAGCCGCGACAGTTTGCAGCATTTCTTCCGATGCGGCTTCCGCAGCTGTCGCCAGACACAACACCGTGCAGATGCAGCTTTACCTAACTTCTCCCTGCGAATGTACATCCATCGTTCGCCTTCAGAAATGGAGGTGCCAACTATTTCACACAGAAGTTCATGTTCACTTCCAGGCAGGGCGAATGCATGGAGTCATAGCATTGCCATGCACAGGCTGAATGCTGTGTTGAGTTGCAGGCTTATGCAAAAGCTTTGGGATCAACTGGTGAGCTCGGAGCGTGATGCCATGCTCACCCTGTTGACCCCCAAGATGGACGCGGTCTTAGTGCATCTGTTTTGAGAAAAGCCTGTCAGATCCTGCTCAACTGCATGGAGTATCCTTGGAGAGCCTGCAGCTCCGGTATCGTGTTGAGCGCGCTTCAGGATCCTTTCAGCGCGGAAGCTTTCAACATGACGAAGGTGGCTGGGATCGCTTGCGCTTACTGTCACTTTCGGTAGCTCATGGACCCATCTTGGCAGCGACCGGGCTCTGCAAGGAGATCCGGCACATGCTGCACAATGCCAGCGAAACCGCAAGGCAATTGCATGATCGCAACCGTTAGAGTAGCGATCTAGGTCGAGGCAGGTTCAGGCTACGCACGCTCTAACCGACACGTGCCGCGCCTGGTCAGGAACCTTGGCTTCCCCGGCATCACCTATCGCATGTTTTCTCCAACAGCAATCATGATGGACCCTCGTTGGAAAGCGTTGAAGAGGCTCTGTGGACGGCTGTCGACATGTGAAGACTTGCGCTGACATAGCCGATTTGTGTGTGTGTGTGTCACTTGAAATTAACACCTCGCGGCTTTGACCAGCTAAGGACATGATCGAAGTTACACATGATCGACTCTTCGTGGCCTTCCTGGGCTGTGCGATGGTGCCTTGCGGGGGGGGGGGGGTTTAAAAGGTATAGGCTGAGCACCAAATCGTCTCTTCGTGTGTCGCAGGTTTGCTTTATTCTCATTGCTATCTCGTTTCATGCATGGCAACTCGGCAGACTTGCAGGACAGTTTGGGCGGCCATTGTTAGGCAACCAGTGTCAGTGTCCACTGCAGGCTAATCCCTTTCAAGCTGCTCTTCACAGTGATTCTGCCCATCACATGGACCTATGGAGCAGCGCTGTCTCTGGGTGGCAATAGAACAGGGGCAGAGCAACAAGTTTGAAGAACGCTCCGACCGTTAAGGTATGTCTACGAAGACGGCTACTTGGAATTCCTGGGCGTCCCTGGCGTTTCTCCTACGCATCCTGGCATTCGTGGACAATCCCGGCGTACAGTTCTGTGAGCACCGTACGCAGATGCCGTACGTACACTGCCTGAAAAAAGTATCTTCCGAGGTACATTACGAACAGTGGACCTGCAGGCCCGCGACAGCAGATGCTCATGTCATGGCGATCGGCCAAATACAAGCGAGCTTTGAGGCTTGGACTGGACGGTCCCCATGTTCACTCTCACAATAATGCTGGGCCTGGCCCTGGCATCTTGGCTTTGGATGCTGCGTTTGTTAAGGGGCGGTTATCGTTTGGATTGAAGCTGGTTGATTGCATAAGCACAGAGTAAGATGCCAGTGTTTTTGCAAAGATGGATCTTGGTTCTGTCTGCAGTTAGTCGACCGATCGAGCTGCCAGACACAACAAAGCTGGCCTCGAGCCTCTCAAGTGTACGATAAGGACTACGACGTCTTTCTGTTCGAGCGTGTCTGGGAGTTCCGCGCGCAGGTTCGCAACTGCAGTAAGACAAGGTCATGGGCAGGGGCAGCGGAGGGCAGATGCCAAGCAGATGAAAGCAATAAAACAGAGACTTCAGAGAACTCCATGAGTGCACTACGGGGGCATTTGGGAGTGACAATCCTTGTTTTAACAGGGAATTTCAGAAATTCTACTTTCAGGTAACGATTTTGGCAGGCAGTGTCCGTAGGTGTTTCGGTCAGCTGGTAGCCCTGCATAACAGCTTCAACTGCACCTCTCGCAGGGCTTTGGCGACAACGAATCGATTCAGCTGGCTCTCTCGGCGACCGGTCGGGGTCCACGAGAGTATGCAAGAGAATATTCAAGACTTGTGCGACAAGTCTGCGTGCGTAAGCAAGAAACAATCCAAAAATTTTCTGGAAGGGCCAACGATCACTTCGGCAGGGCTCATTTTTGCCTTCACCTTCGCATCTTGGCTGCAGATAGCCGTCTTCGTGTCGACAGAGCTGCAACTGTATTTGGACCATCAACGAGAGGAGAGGCATCTGAGCAGCTCGCAACAGCAGAACCATGCTAGTACCCCTATCCCAAAGGAGCCAAACCTTTCCATGAAGCTGCCCCACCTTACCCGTGAAGCTGTAAGTCTGTGTTCGGCTAAGACAAGCATGATGTTGGGCAGCATGGCGATCACGAACCAGACCCTCGGCGCAATTATACTATAGGCTAACATGATTCTCGAAAGTTCTGAGTCGCGTGTCTGGTGCCCGTGTCTGCCCGTCTGCCTGTCTCTTCTTTACAGCACTGGCTCACGGGCAGAGAGAGAGAGAGAGAGAGAGAGAGAGAGAGAGAGCGGGGGCGCTGATGCGCGCGATCGAGGGGCAACCCTCGGTCGTAGCCCTGGCGAAAGAAAGAGAGAGAGAGAGAGAACGACGTAGCTTCATGCCGGGGTCTGTGTGTTGTTCGGGTTCTGGTACCAAAGCCTGGCTGTGTGAAGTGAAGGCGAAAGGGGATTAGGAGTGGCATGGAGTGGCGATGGTTTGGGTTACTAGGTTCGGAGTCGGGGGATTTTGGCCTCAGCTCTGTTTTTGTCCTGACCTGCAACTTCCTCCCAAAGCCCCTGTCAAGACCATTCAGCATGTAAGCCGTTGAAAAAGAAAGAAGGAGCTGTAAGTATGTCACCCTCACAAAAAGCGCGCGCGGAAGGCCCAACCCCCAACACGGTGGAAGGAAGCAAGCAAGTGTGAATCGTTTGGGCTCAGACGAGGAACAGGAGTCTATCAAGCTGTACCTTCTTCGGACGCTCGAACGCTATCGAGGGGACCAGACTCCTAACGTGCTGGACCGTCTGGAAGGTATCGCCCAAGTATACGGGGACAAACTGTGCCTAGCAGATGGAGGGATGAGGGATGCTCATGAACTTTGCCCGTTCAATCCGCAAGAAGGTTTTTGGGGCACCTGTAGACCATTAGAGACGGGAAAGACTGCGCGGGGTGAAAAGCAGGGACTCGGAGCGAGGCCCGATGGGAAGAGGCTGCTCGAGAAGTGGGAGCAAAGCCATAACCAAGGCCAAGGGCAGAGGCTAACTACCTCTTCACCAGACGCACCCGAGACAGGGCACAGGGAACATGTGCAAGGGTGAGAAAGGAGGTCAGACATGTTGACGAAGAACGACGCCGAGTGAGAAAGGATTGCCAAGTTCTGGAAAAGGGGGAGAAAGTCGGAGCATGCCCCGGGCATCCTGAGCTGAGAGAAAGCCAGCCAGCAAAGCTCTTAGCTAAGTGGACGCGCTTCAAGTGGAGCACGACTACAAGCACCCTGCCGAGGTCGCTACAGTTCTGCGACCTACTTGGGACCAAACACAACCAGACAGAACGCTGGGCCAGGGACACCAATGAGGGTGAGGTGACCACGCAATTTGCAGGTGCTCACGAACTACGACGGGGGACCGCAACGAAGGGAGGCATGGCACACAACAACCCGAAATGCAGTGCTCGGGAGAAGGGAATGAGACGCTGGACAGTTTGAAGCGCACAGACTACCAAGGGAGACCCCAGTCAGGGGGCATTCCGGATAGTAGTGGAGATGGATGCTGCAACGAGGTCGTATGAGGGTTGATCCATAACTACAGGTGCGATGCATTCCTGCGCCACTCACCTAGATATTTGTAAGAATTATGCAAAAATATCTGATGTGCCAGAAATGTGCAAGAATGCCGTTCGGGGGGTCACGCATCGGAACAATACGTTCCATCAACTTGCACGAAGACTTTAGCATAAGTAGCTGCGCAGGCTTCTAGCCCAGCCAGATGAAAGAAGGAGGATTTGAATCGCTGCAAGTCCGTTTGTTTCAGCGTCGAAGTGGAGGATGCTGCTGAAAGGGAAACGGAAGTAAAGAATTACATATCGACAAATGAGTGCAAGAAGGTGTGACGTGACATGTAGTCAAGCATCTTCCATGCAAGCCGAAGCACCTCAACGGCCGTCCCGGTTCTTTCCCTGCGAGCTTGCAGTTGTAATCATGACCACCCGCTCCGCATAGCCGAGTGCGGCAAGGATGGGCTTCATCTTCATTTTCAGCATCGTTGTGGACACCTTTGTGGTCCGCACAGTGCTGGCATCGCTGCCGCAACAAGTAAATGCTGCAAGTACTGCCAGAAGCGTGTACGTCGGAGCCATGTATGCTTCCATGACGTATGGCTGGAAGACGCTTTTCAAGTTACAGGCATTGCATGCCTGCCTAGCTGCATGGCACCGGTCACGATGTGCTAGAAAGAGGAGGCAGATGCCGTTGCCAGAATCTATCCAGCCTGTTGAGGTGCCAGCCATGCTATCTCTGAACCCTTGCCTGAATTACTGGCCCTCAAAAATGCCGGAGCCAAAGTACACTTGGCTGTGAGTTGACAAAAGAAGGCCTTTGCATGTTTTCGTAAGGTGCCCGCTAGGATTTTCACGGTTCAGCTTGACACTGAATTTGCATGTATCCACGATGCAGCCTATCTTCAGAAGCAGCAGGACAGTGTGTCGAAGATCCAGAAGCGCTTTCCAGCGAAGGCACCGCTGCAGTGTGTTCAAAGGAGCAGAGCAGCGTTGGAACACCTTGCTCGCTGCCTGCCTCGGCCTAGTGTGCGGATGCTTGCTGCTTGCATGGTCATGCATGGCCTCAGGCATGTTCCGTTTCTCAAGTGCAGTAAGCGCCGTGTGGATGCAGGTGCTTCCATATGCGATGCAGGGCCCGAATGGGGAAGCAATGTCTTTCTATGGCGTCTTGGCACGACCAGTCGAGGTAAAGTGCATCAGGGCAGTGTGCCTGCGTTGAAGAATGTCACTGCTTTGGGTTCTAGGTGCTGAAAGGTTTGTACAGGTTGGCGATGCACCGAGAGCCTCAGCCAGAGTGAACTGCCCATTCATGATGTCTTTGAAGAGTCTGTGACCATCCAGCAGTCAGCCGAGATCAACACGTAAGGGAGTGTGGCGACTTCTCCAAGTTGCCTCTGCCGGTGACTGAGGTGTCTGGGATCGCATAGTGGAGTTTCTGCGCTATGAGGGCAAGGCCGACGGCCGGCTGAAGCGTGGCCACGCATGGCAATGCCTTGTGTGCTATGGGCTCTGAGTCCTATGCCGCAGCTATGCTGGTTCTACGCAGGTGACCAGCCGGGAGATTGGCGACTTGTCGTGCGCTTGTAGATTCTCACCCGTCCGACTGAGCTGCTGTCCGCAAAAGGCTGACCCGTTCGGGTGTCCACCAAGCTCGGTTTGTCACAGGTACTGCGCAGATGCCGATTCGAACGTGCAGTGGAAACAACTGAACTCGCCGCTGGACTCCGGCATGCGAGAGTTTCGCAGGCTGAGCCGAAACGAAGACAGGGCTTCTCTCTTCGGGTGCTGCTTTCAGCCATGACCAGCGCTGGCATGCAGGCCGCAAATCTTTCGTGGCACGAATGTCGCCGGGCACCCGTCCAGGTATGTCTGATGGTAGTACATTCATTGCAAAACACTCAGTGTTCAAGAATTGCTCCACTGTCATTCTTCCAGGACCTAGGAGTGGGCATGATCGGCAGAAAACTCGGCTGCTGCACGGGCCGAGCAGCCGCGAGGGACCATGCATGGGCGGACCAGACGGCGATGTAGAAACTCAGGTTTTGGGAGGACTGAGGGAATGGGTGCGACTGAGGCGGTAAATGCCCTGAACATGAGTTCGTGTGTTCACAGATGCCGATGCAAGCGCGCCGACCGCTCCGTAGCAGCAATTCTCCACAATGCCGTATCAGTTCGTCCATTGCTTAGCTCAAGCTTCGGCTTCAAGGCGAGGCCTGTACAGCCTTGCAGCCTCACTCAGCCTGCGATGCTCAACTTTGCCAAGATGCAGCGTGCATGTTACAATGCCCGGGCAATATTGGCAGTTCGTAGGTCTGTTCGCGAGTCTTGCATGATGCTGATTCTGCCGAGGGATACGTTTATTCATTTAGATCGTCGTGCAGTCGTGGGTTTCTATTCTTTGAGGCCGAGAATTTTCTACGGCGCTACATGATTCAGGGCCAGGAAGGTCCAAGCCTCGACTGAACCATGTCAGCGGAAGACAAGGGAAGGTCCGAGTCTGCGGCCGCATGAATTTCAACATCCGCTTACTCCAGGTTGGCCCACAAATCGAGAAGCCAAGTGGCGACTGCAGGCAGACTTTCGGGCTCGCAACATACACCGCATGATTTTTTTGCGAAGACGCCTTCGAAAGGCACTGGCCAGGGGCCTTGGCAGAAGCCTCAGCAATCCGCTTGAAGCGGAGATACACGATCGCTGCGATGTGCCAAATCCATTGGATGTCTTCAGGGCTGCCGCTGCCTGTGCCCTATCGGGTGCCATATGCTGCAGCCTCAGGTCGAGAATGTCAGAGCTCTCAGCCAGCACTCAAGCTCAAACTCCGAACTGTGCGCGCAGATCCCTGGAATCAGCGTGCTCATCCCACACTATGGCGAATCGATCCTGGTGCCTGGGCCGGTTCAGACTGGAACAGGATGCTCTTCCGGTTGGAGGATACCTTGCCTACTTCGGCATAATATGGGGCACACACACATAAATAAATAAACAAACAAACAAATAAATAAATATATATATATATCCAGTCATTTCTTGCAACCAATTTCTCCAACAGCATGCCAGGTCATCCTCCAGACCTCCAAATCACCAAATATTGTCAACGAACATGCCATAATTTTCCTACCACTTTATCCAATTTCTCAGACGCCCTTTTCGCAAGGTCAACCAGCCATCCACTTGCCCTCCCCCCCCCC